ACGGATACATCACCCTAACCAATCAGCTCCCGAGCCACTGACGGATACATCGCAGTGGCCAATCCGTTTCTATGCGCCCCCCACGGGCTGGAGCAGCGGCCGCTGACATTTAGGGTTTATTTTTGGTTTTTGTTATGGTCGCTCGTACCGTCAGGCTGTTCCATGTGCCCTCTGATGATATATTTTGATTCCTTTTCACCATTCAAGATGGCTGCTTTCCTTATTGAACGAGCTGTGGCACTTGTTTTAACGTTTAATCTCATTGGTTAGTTTAAAATTGGAACAGCATCTTATTAAATCGCCACCAATCAGCGGAAACCGCAAACGTTGAACACATGTTAGACGTGAGCTGCAAGACTGGAACATTTCCCCGGGTACTTACGGTCACTTACAAGGAAATTATGAGCTTGCACTTTACAATCGTTTTCATATCCTCAGCATAGCCCAGAACTGTGGATGCTGTAAATCAGAAACAAAAACAGAAATTGCTGGAAATGCTCAGCAGGTCTGGCAGCATCTGTGAAGAAAAAAATCCGAGTTAACGTTTTGGGTCCGGTGACCTTTCCTCAGAACACCGGACCCGAAATGTTAACTCAGATTTTTTTCTTCACAGATGCTGCCAGACATTTCCAGCAATTTCTGTTTTTGTTCCAGTACTTATTATTTGTTGCAGTGTACCATCGTGGTTGCGAAGTCAATTACTATCGCCTTACTAAAAAGTAAAAAGTCCACAAACAAGATACTTGCTAATGTTTATTCATTATATTGTTGCAAAATTACACAAGCAGTCTAATATTAGTTTCTCTATTGCATTGCGTTGAAGCTCTCCTTTTTTTCCTTTTTAAAAGAACTGCCCAATTGCCACTCTAAATGCTGATCCAGTATTTAAAAGATAATCAGTGCTCACTTCACTGATAACTTGTAACCAAAAATGTACAGACGCTTAGTTACACCGCACCTGGTGTATTGTGCGCAGTTTTGGATCTCCTTACTGACTCAATTAGAAAACTATCAGTGGTGCAAGGTGGATAGCTGACAGCGAAGGAAGGAATGCAAAAGAAATATCTCTTTGAGATAGTAGGAACTGTCGATGCTAGAGTCTGAGATAACAAGGTGTGGAGCTGGAGGAACACAGCAGGCCGAGGAGCAGGAAAGTTGACGTTTCAGGTTTGGACCCTTCTTCAGAAATGGGAGAGGGGCCTCTGAAATAAATAGAGGGGGGATGTGGTGATAGAAGGTGGATAGTGGAGCGGCTAGGTGGGAGAGAAGACAGACAGGTCAAGGAAGCGGGGATGAAGCTAGTAAAGGTGAGTGTAGGTAGGCAGTAGTGGGGGTAGGGGTTGGTCAGTGAGGAGGGAGGAGCGGATAGGTGGGAGGGAAGACGGACAGGTCAAGGAGGCGGGGATGAGACGGGTGGCTGGTCTTGGGATGAGGTCGGGGGGGTGGAGAGATTTTGAAGCTCGTAAAAGTCCACGTTGAGACCATTGGGCTGTAGGCTTCCAAGGTGGAATATGAGGTGCTGTTCCTCCAGTTTCCAGGTGGCATCATTGTGACACTGGAGGAGGCGCAGGATGGACATGTGGTCCAGGGAGTGGGAGGGTGAGTTGAAGTGGTTCGCGACTGGGAGGTGTTGTGGTATGTCGCAATAGGTGTTCCACAAAGCAGTCTCCGAGCCTCCGCTTGGTCTCCCCGATGTAGAGGAGGCCACATCGGGAACAGCAGATACAATAGACCACATTAGCAGATGTGCAGGTGAACATCTGTTTCATGTGGAAGGTTTTTTTGGGGCCTGCGATGGAGGTGAGGGGGGAGGAATAGGGGCAGGTGTAGTACCTCCGAGCCCAACCACCCCCGGCACTCCCCACTAGCCCCACCAACCCCGGCCCCACTACAAAGGATATATTTCCCTCCCCACTCTTATCTGCCTTCCGAAGGGATTGCTCTCTCTGCGACTCCCCCGTCTGCTCCACACTCCCCACCAGCCCTACCACCCCCAGCACCTTTCCCTGCAACCGCAAGAGGTGCTACACCTGCCCCTACACCTCCTCCCTCACCCCCATCCCAGGCCCCAAGAAAACCTTCCACATTAAACAGATGTTCACCTGCACATCCACTAATGTGGTCTATTGTATCTGCTGTTCCTGATGTGGCCTCCTCTACATTGGGGAGATCAAGCGGAGGCTCGGAGACTGCTTTGTGGAACACCAATGCTCGGTTCACGACAAACAACACCTCCCAGTCGCAAACCACTTCAACTCACCCTCCCACCCCCTGGACGACATGTCCATCCTGGGCCTCCTCCAGTGTCACAACGATACCAACCTGAAACTGGAGGAACAGCACCTCATATTCCGCCTTGGAAGCCTACAACCCAATGGTCTCAATGTGGACTTTACTAACTTCTAAATCTCCCGACCCCCGACCTCATCCCAAGACCAGCCACCCCTCTCATCCCAGCCTCCTTGACCTGTCTGTCTTCCCTCCCACCTATCCGCCCCTCCCTCCTCACTGACCAACCCCCATCCCCACTTCCTACCTACACTCACCTTTACTAGCTTCATCCCCGCCTCCTTGACCTGTCTGTCTTCTCTCCACCTATCTGCTCCACTATCCACCTTCTATCACCGCGCCTCTCTCTCTATTTATTTCAGAGCCCCATTCCCCTCCCGCATTTCAGAAGAAGGGTCCAGACCTGAAACGTCAACTTTCCTACTCTTTTACATCTGCAGTTCAAACATAACCAAACATAACGCTACGTCGAAACAATTGGCAGGCTGCAGCCATCTAATTTATATCATCTTATTCCTTCAATTAGTTTATTTCCAGACCATTACTATCCAACACAGGCTGAAGTCAGAAGTCACACCACACCAGGTTATAGTCCTTAGTTACTTCACCTGACAAAAGACTAGCGCCCAGAAAACTTGTGATTTCAAATAAACCATTTGGACCATAACCTGGTGTCGTGTGACTTCTGACTTTGTCCACCCCAGTCCGACACTGGCATCTCCATGTTGGACAGAGGATCCCCCTAAAAATCTCTTTTAGCATTTCTTGTAGCCTTCAGCTGTCTGAATTCATTATTTGTAGGAATCCATGGAATAGCACTAGTCTAACTGACAGCCTTGTGTCTTGATCAGAAAGTGGTTGGTCCCATTCTACCCAAGCATTACAATTTATGTTAATGCTGCACCAGTTTTATTTGAAAACAGTTTCCATTTGTGGTCATTTATGTATGTGCATGTTTTCCCCTTGAGTTCTGAGGAAGGTCACTGGACTCAAAATGTTAACTCTGATTTCTCTTCACAGATGCTGCCAGACCTGTGAGCTTTTCCAGCAACTTCTGTTTTTGTTTCTGATTTACAGCATTCGCAGTTTTCAGTTTTATTTTTCTCTTTCTCCCCTTTCTAAGCTCAGTAGCTTGTGGTTCTTTCTCCTGTTGCTTAAATCAGGGCCAATGGCTGCTTTTTCTGTCAATTTGCAGAAAGGTTTGCAGCTTTTTCTGGTCTGAATTAGTAATACTGACGGATTGACCAAAAGCTTTTTTAAACAACAACTTATTTATGCAGTGTTTTAAATAAATTAAATGATCAAATGTAAGAAATCAAAGGTAGGGAGGTACTTTATATGTGAACAAAGGCTGAGATCAAGGCAGGGAAATGAACATGAGGAAGCAAAGCAAAAAAAGGAAGCAACAGTACTGCAAATCCTTGAAGAAAACTCCAGTGGGAAGATGTGTGTCAGACTTCTCTGAATGACAGCAGTTATGCAGCAATTCCTTCAGCAATTTATGCTGTTGTATGACATTGTGGATACACCCATCCTCAGTCTTTCATTCACTGGTTGAAAATTCACCTTTTCAGTCTCACTGATGATAGTTTCCCTTTTCCTTTCCACTGGGGATTTCCAGAGAGATCAGCTCTGGAAAGATGAGGAAGAATTTTCTGAAGAAGGGTCTAGGCCCGAAACGTCAGCTTTCCTGCTCCTCTGATGCTGCTTGGCCTGCTGTGTTCATCCAGCTCTACACCTTGTTATCTCAGATTCTCCAGCATCTGCAGTTCCTACTACCTCTGAGGAAGAATAGTTGGTTGCTAGCAATTTTATTTTCCATCCCCACAACAAAAGGGAGAGAAAGAGAGTTGGGTGCTTTCTTTTTGCAGGTTAATTGTTTCTCCTGCATATACACATGCATGGCCATAGTCTCTCGAACCAGTCAAGAGTTTATTACTGTGCTGGGCCCTCATAAACCCACCACAACTGGTGCCAATTGAGAAGCCATTCAAAAATTGTCCCTGGGCAGAATTGCCTTGAACATATAGATGGTGCCAATTTATTTAGACTTTTGCCTCACTGCTCTAACAAAATAACATACCATATTACCCTCAACGTGTTGTCAATTGTTTTTGTTTTGATTACACAGTTTCCTTGGTTTAAAGCAATTGGGAACAGGAGTAGGCCATAGAGCCCTTCGAGACTGCTCCAACATTCAATAAG